TGGGCAAAATAAATGAGAGACCCAGCTAAAGGAGAAACAGTAGTTAGAGATGGTTCTGGTTCTAGAGATATTTCAGCTGGATTACTCCTCCTACTGGATTCTATGGAGATTAAGGAGAGTTTTGGTAAACTCTTACTGATTGGCAGACAGCCTGGTCGGATGTTTCACTAATTCAACCATTTCTTGGGAGATTAAGAGGAATTAGAATGTATGTTACATCTAACTCTTCAGCAGATGTGAGGAATACCAAATGTTTAGCAATCTCACCACCAGCCAACACAGTTGTTTAAAATAGAACTGGGACTCCAGTAAATTCTTCTTACGGAGGATTCGCAGTAGGAAGCTATAACTATAGTTATCTATTACCAAAGTTTACTTAATGCTCAAATATGCCTATGACTTATTCTGTAGCTTTCACTCCAACAAATGCTTCTCTGTTTATTACATTTAACTCCACACTGCTTGGATTAACAATCTCTCCTTATAATACAACTTTTGTTGGTAATTTTACAATCAGATATATTGCAACTGTTAATGGATATAGCGTATCTAATTATACAGATTTTATAATTCAAATTACTAGAAACTATGCTCCAATAGCAAGATAATCGTTCAATAAAAACGTTACTATTTATGCAAGACATAACTATACCTGGGATATCATTCTTGACAATGACCCAGAAAATGATGAGGCTGAGTTCTTTGTTACAGCTCTTTCAGCCACTGGTACTGCTTTAAGTATTTCAACTGCGTGGCTAAAGATTCAAGCTATGGACAACTAAGGAATAACTTTTTCTGTGATAGATGCTCCTTAGCCCGTACTGCCTGCTACTTGGACAGTATTCACATTGAGAGTTACAGCTAAAGATCCATTTAACTAAGATACACCAAATGTATATGATATTTGGCTAAATGTTACAAAGAATGATGCACCTGTTATGACTCAAGATCACAGCCTAATTCTAAATCCTATCTACATTACTAAAGCATTTAGTTACACTTTTTGGTACTAGAACTATACTGACATAGAAGGAGATTCAGTTAAAATGACTTGTACTTTATCATCTACAGTTACTGATTTCACCTGGGTATCATTCGAAGTAAATAAGACAATTAAAGGAAACGTTACTTTTTTCGGTTAGTCCCCTAGAGATAACACTTATGCAGGAAACTATACGTTATCTTGCCAGTTTAATGATTAGTACAAAGATTTCATCAACACCTTTGATTATGTCTAGCAAGTCCTACCTAAACAATAAATTTAAATCCTTAAAAATGAAACGAAAGCCTACATCAGATTACCTCAGAATATTACTTTTAATTTCATGGGTTACAGTGCTGACCCTTAATAAGAACCAAACTATTATTAACTCTTCATAAATGACACTCTTTACGATGCCAGTTTGTTTGAGAGAAAGTGGATGGACTGGGATAGTGTTTCAACTAATTTGACAGCAGCCCCCTTTAACAACACTCATGGTGGTAACCATTCGATATCTATAAAATTTGATGATTTAATATCCGTGCCAATGTTCATGAATTTCACACTTGAGATTATGTATAATTGGCCCTTGATCGCTATCTCAACCCTTAACAATTTAAATGTGATTTCAATGAATTGGTTCTACTTCAATTTCAATGTCACCTAAATATTTAAGAATCCTGAGGGAGAACCATTTACAATGTATCTGAGACTTTCTTAAAGTGGCAATAATCTGCCGTATTTTATAACAAAAAATTTTACAAATGGAACAATTGGAGGATTTGCAACAGATCCTGATGTTGGAAATTATAATATGGAATGTGTAGGAGTTGACGATGCATACTGGGAAACATTTATACCGTTTATAATGATTGTTAAGCGTAAGCATTCATATTTAAACTCTAATCTTAATTTCATAACTTCTAATTATAGCTTGCTACTACAAGTGTAAATTGTGCTGGGATGCAGACTATAACACTTGCAAATCTTGCAAGCCAGGATTCTTCTTTTATAATTCTGAATGTTTAGATGAGTGTATCGAAGGTACATATCCAGATCCACCGGCGCTAAAATGTCAAAACTGTCCAAGTCTTTGTAAGGCTTGCACTGGAAATGATACATTAACGTAAATTGTTATTAATAAATTCTAATCATAGATAATGCTAAAAATGCAATAAGGGAATTTTCTACTTAAATGATGGTTGCTATAGAGAATGTCCCAATGGCTATTGGGGAGATAAAATGGACTACACTTGCAAAAGTATATTATTTACTTGATATGATTATTAGGGTGTAATTCTGCTTGTACTCTTTGTTATGGTCCGAGCTCTCTCCAGTGTTATAATTGTTCTGAACTATTTATCGAAAATGAACTTGGAGTTACTACCAAACAAGGATATCTTTTATCAGGAACAGAGTGCAGAATACCTAAATGTATAATTGGCTAGTACTTTTAGTGGAATGATGAACTTAATATTTACAATATTCATTTAGGCTAGTGCCAAAACTGCCATAAAACCTGCAAAAAATGTACTGGTCCGTATGAATTTCAGTGTTTATAATGCTATCCTGGTTATATTTTAGACACTGAAATAAACACATGCACTCCATGTGAAGACATCTACGGATTATTCACGAATGAAGAGTATGAGTGTGAAGAAATTTGTGGAGATGGAGTTAAAATTAACAAGTAGTGTGACGACGGTAACTTGCTGCCTGGTGATGGCTGCAGTTAACTTTGCCAACTAGAATATGGTTTCGAATGTCTTTATCCAAATAAGACTTGTAGAGAAAATATACCTCCATCGTTTAGTATTTCGACAATCACACCTACAAACTTAGTATACATTGAATTTTCAGAGCCAGTTTATGTTAAAAATGAAAAAGGAATATCCTAAGAAAATCTATTAGTTGAAATAGTCGGATCATTAGGGAGTTATGTATTTGACTGGAGAATCATTTAAGATCCGAACAATCCACTTCTACCTGACAGAATAATAAGAAGATTTGAGTTGAAACTCTCTGAGATGAAATAATCACTTGAAGGCACCGAGTTAGTGAAGATTTCTTTTATCGATTACTCCTTAGTTTAAGATGGTGCTAATAATTCAGTTACTTTGGAATCCTTCTCGACTATAAACCCGTATCCATTCATTTTTCTTTCAGCAGAGTAAGCCTCAACTGCGTCTGGAGGAGGAACTTCTCTTAAATACACATTCTTATCCGTTTTCAGTTTCAATCTGGCTTTAAAAGTAGTGTTAAACAGCTCTATGCAATATTTATGGGGGTTAGTTCATGCACTCCAGGTGTTCAACTTTCTGCTCTATATGAATATTAATTTCCCAGATAATGTTGTTCTCTTTGCTAAATATATGCAAGTAGCATCTGGAAACATTGATGAACTTAATCAGTACATCCCAAATTTCGCAGATTACATAATAGATGAGAATAAAGTCGTAGAAAAAAAAGATGACGAAAAACTTCAGTAGAGTTTTAAGGATGATGAGATGTCACCATACTTTATTATTTCATTCGGTCAAAAACTATCAATATGGGCAATTGGACTTTTAGTAATCCTACCATTCGTATTAGTGATGAATAGACTCTGTAAAAAGGTCAAACTTTGGGAAGATATGGCAGGATCATTCTTTTTTAATGCCCCACTTAGAACTTTTATAGAGATGTATATTGAGCTAATTCTTTAGGTGATCATAAACACTCAATTCGTTAAATTTACTAATTTCAGTCAAATGATTGCTACTCTTTGTGCTTTCATTTTTGGATCTATTTCAATTTTACTTCCGTTTTTAGCAATGTCAATCATTTACCACAATAGGAGATCTATTAGAAAAATGAAGTGGAAGAGAAAATTCGGAATGCTCACTGAAGAAGTAAGATCGCATTCAGTATTATAACTTTACTACTATCCACTATTTATGTACTAGCGATTGATTATAGCAGGAGTCATTGTCTATATCTATGAATCACCGGTACTTTAGTGTCTGATGATAATGCTATGTAACGTATCAATGGCACTGTATATGATATTGATAAGACCTTTCAAAGAGGAGAGTCAGTAGGCTACTACTGTTCTTGATGAATTTGTTATAATGACATGTGTAGGTCTCTTTATTTTGCTAAGCGAAAAGAAAATGCTGCCAGATGAGCAAATAAAATTAGGTTGGGGTATCATAGTGCTGATTTTATTCAGCGTTTGTAAGAATTTTGGAGTTGTTATATACTTCGGTATCATCAAAACGAGATAGAAGCTCAAATAAATGTTTTCTGCTGAGGACAATCAAAAGGATTCAGTCCACTCAAGTGATGACATGGACAAAAGCGATGAAGATGATGACTTACAGGCAGATCAATTTGACACTATGGAACTTGAGCAAGAAGTTCTTAATGAATAATCATAAAAGAAAAGTAATTAAAATGCAAACACCTCTGTTTTCAGTCAGTATGATAATAACGCTAAAGCAAAGAGATTAACAGATATGAACAAATAAGCTACAATTCTATAAAATATTCCAGGAACTACTTAATAATAATGATTATGGGACCGATAATAATTCAAATAAAAATAATAGAAAACCCTGAAAATGATTCATTATAAATTATAATTATATTTTGATTTCATAAATCCAATCAAAAAATTTTTCATCTTGGGGTTTTGGGGTTTTGGGGTTTTGGGG